AACGTTATAATCACACATAAGTTAAAGCCTTTTTCATATGTACCTAATATCTTCGATACATAATTGGCTATACAATTCCAGAAGCCTCAAATGGGCACCATTTGGAATTCACAAATGACTGTATTTAGACTCAAAACACCAAAGGCCTCGACATTGGTTCTGAAACATAACCGAATGAGCCGTCGGGAATGTACCTCACGTTTCATTGTTATGTTTAATTTAGAAATTTGATTCGAAATCAATTTTTACAATAACATGACGCATTTCAAATCTATATGCTGTATGCCCATACACAACATAACAATGAGAATCAAAGGTTGATATTTAAACATGTTAACATAGATTGTTGGAAAACATAAATAGTCCCACAATTTTATATGATTTAAGAAATATGTAAAATTCTACATCAAATGGTAATTTATGAGCGAGATCGTCATCCGATGTTTTGTTAAAACTGCATTATTTGTATAGCTATATGGTCTACTTTGTATTTAAGATGTTTTTGCACATTACCTGACTATTTATCGCTATTTTTTTATCTTGAAATATGTGTTAAATAGTACTTCAGAAAATAATTAGCACATCACTGTCTTCATCAGCAATCATTATCATAGTGATCACCTACATTATTATTTTTTTTTATCATTATCATTATCATAATTATCATAGAAACAACAGTTGTTTTCAGAACTATCTACTTGGTGTATTTATTTTTGTTATAACATTGAATATTACATGGACTTATTCTATGTTTGTCGACAAATTGGCTCATGATTTACGAATTCATTATATTTGCTGCCCTCTATCGAACAATTTATGTTTTGATAAAATAATAATTATTATTTTAAGAAATGCATGTATTAGGGTAGGGTAGACTATTTTCTATGATTTCAGGTAATATTGATATCATGAACAGTGTCCATAGGGCCCGGCCTGAGGAGGTACGGCAAGACTGCTAATGACCGACGCTTAGCGTCTTTAAATTTTTAATTGTATTTTTGTAAATTGGACAAAGCTTCATTTTTTATGCAAATTATATTTGTTTTTATAGTTTTTTAATTGATTTTGATCCGGTGGTAAAACGGTTCTGTGGTGCTTGTCCACCGTGTTCTGTACTTGCCTTTCTGGTGTTTTTTGTGATCCAGTTAAAATTGAATAAAATAAGATAGACTGCGGTGGTGTACGTTCCCTATCATTCGACCCTATTTCTACCCCTCTTGTTATACTCCTACTGTCCTTATGAAATCAGCTTTACCCATCAGAACCAGTATGAACATTTAGTTCTACTGGGGTGACTAGCGAGTTAAGCGAGTGTGAGTAAAGCTGTACGTGTTGGTATTATATCAAGATTATTATGAATAGGCCTACCTATAATTTATATAAACATGTGTGGGGTAATAAGAGGCTTTAAGAGTAAGGTTATAAGTGTAATCACATAGGCCTATTCCATAAAAGTATGATCATTATTTTTATTGAGATCATTAGTAGCTTATTAGTGGTAGTGTGTATTGAATATACCTACAAGTGAAATAAGACTCATAACTACTTTAAGTATGGTAAGAGTAGAATAATTTTGATAACACACATGGCATAATATTGATATGTATGACTATAAATAGATATTATGAGAGTGAGGGTTGGTAGAGTATAAGCATAAATATCTTATGAGAGTAAGTTTGAATTTGTATAAGAGTGAAAATACTAGAGATAAAGATACCGCGTCCCTTTATTTTATATATAGTATGTTGATTTCTTCTGGACAGCGTCATAAAAGAGAAATTAGGTACCGTAGTTTTCGCCGCACGACGTTAACCTTAACGTTAATGGTGACGTCATAATTTATTCATCTTGCGGAGTACGTAAATTTCAGGATTTTACGAGCTGGACGTACGGTAGTTACGGGTGTGCGCATGCGTATATCGATGTGTTTACATGGCGGAGTTACCACGTTGCATGTTGGGTACTACCGTTAAAGTTAAGGTTAACGTTGTGCAGTGAAAACTACCTATTAATTTGTGTGGATTAATGACCATTAAGAGGCCTTCTTTCAAAGAATGCTTTAAGGCCCCCGTGGGGTCTGCTTCGGTGTTTCTTTACCAACAGTGTCCTTAAGAATTTACAATAGGCCTTAATTGCCAAATAGTATCATATAATCATGAATAGTGATGTGGGTTAGGCTATATACTTACTTGTTATACAAAACAAGATCTGGAAGCCACAGCATTTCAGAGGGTACTCGAAGAATATCTATGCCGTCATATTCTTCAGGTTTCCACTCCAGCTTGTAGTCTGTCCACAACTAGATAACAATAGAATTAAATTCCAGTTGCATTATGTTAAAAATCAAAGAATTCATTTTTAAATATTATGTAACGGTCGTACTGTATTACTGTACATACGGTGCACTCAAAGATGGATTTGGATTTAAGGAAAAATCGCAACTACCATGAATTGATTCATATCACACTTTATTTTACAAATATAGACAGTAGTATAACTATATTTGATACTTGTTTTATTTGCCCTAGGCTTATATGAAGCCTATGACCTCTAGACATTGACCATTCGTTTTGACCATTGAAAAGTTTTTTTTTGAATAAAAAATGTCATGTACAAACACTGTGTCATTAATATGAATGAATGAGTTGATATTTTTAAAAATATAGGCAGTATCTATAACTATACTTGATATTTGTTTCATTAGGCCTAAGCCTATATTATGACATCAAGGCCTTTTCCCTATTCGCAACAACGCTTTTATAAAAAATGTTATTTACCAACACTGTGTCATTTTGAATGAATGGGTCGATATCGTCTGCTAATTATTTAATCATGAATTACTCGGAGAATGTTACTTATGGTTTTACCTGTTTCAGCCATACATTTGTTGTCATGATTTGGTTCTTCTCGTCCTGTAATTAATTAACCAAATTGGTGCATTAATCAAGAAAATGAGCAGTAATGATACAGTTAATGGAATATTTAACACGTGCCTCTTATGAAACGTAAAGTAGGCATAGAGTAACCAAATTAGCTGGAAAGTGTTTTCAGTTTTCAGTTCTACAACTTTCTATACGTCAAGAGAACACATAAGAGAAGTCTAGACTAAGGTACTGGGGTCGCTGATCTCATTGAAAGTCTAGTCAAGATTATCATATTCTGATACTTTAGAAGATAATAATTATTATTGGAAAATTTGTTGTAGGATATCCGAATAAATTTTAGTGAATAGGACAACTAAACCGTTATAGGCTATTAGGGGACTTGTTTAATCGTGAAGAAACTACTTTATAGATGGATATAAATGTGCGCCAGTAATAAATGAAACCACTGTACATGGTTCAGAAAGTCACTTAAACTTTTCTTCTCCGAAAATATATATACTGTATATCCATGTTTTCTGTTATGTCTGTCGTTTTTTATTGCATTATAAATTCAGATTCCTTCTATTTGGATGATCTATGGACTAGCATCACAGATGAAATTATTCAATATCTAATAACGTTTATCATTAGGCACATTCAAAATGGGTATGCCTATTTTGCTAGTAAATCAAGCCAAAATTCTGTTGACGCGCAAGCACAATAATAATGACGTTGAAAAAAATGTCCCTTGCGGCGACATCATACAATAATTTGATAATATATCAGTGGAATTATATTGCTGATGAAACACTTGAGAATATGTCCCCTCATGGGTTTCTTTTTTTTTTATTTCTGGTAATGACATCATACTTACCAAGTCAATAAGTTGCGACATTGTCAGACTAAAATTAACGATGAGTTTCTCCGAGTTATTTTGGACGGGGCGAATGAGGCGGTTGTAACCCGTGAATAACTTATTAAAAAGACGTTCTTCGGCCTCCGCTCCAAGACAGCCTAAAAGCAAGATATTTATGTTTTATTCTTATTCAATTAGATTGATTTGGTTTTCAATTACAGAGCAAGTGCGCCCCGAGCTCATCACCTCTTCTTCGTTAGAATATGAAAGGCATTCATACTGTACATAGAAATTGTTGTTTAAACTATTTAAGATGCACGTAGGGCTACTATATTATTATCATTATCGTCATCATCATCAACATTACCATAATCATCATCGTCATCATCTGTTTTGCATTACGTGCAAAATAGATTAAAGCAATTTAGGACTTGTTTAAAATGAAATTACGTGTTTTGTTAATTGTTTACATACAAAGGTTACAAGAACACATAGGGCCTAATTAGGATGACAACTAAATCTTATTGGTCTATTCAGTAGGAAAGCAATCTTAAATTAGCAACACAATTCAAACATATCGTGTGCAAATCAGCTTATTCAAGATCTCTGACCTGAGCCAACCCAAAATTGAGGGATTTAATTTCAGCTCTTGGATGTTAACACCCGAACATTTTAATTAATTAGGACACAGGTACGTTGGTTCAATCAGTACTTTGGAGTGTTCTACAGCGTGTACCTATAAATTAATGAACCAGTAGTGATTAAGATGTTGATTTGAACTCATTTACTCAGAGTCTCCAAGGAGTCCAAGAAACGTTCAACGTTCAATCCCCCACGGTTATAAATTCAGGTAATTGATTGAGAAGAAATTCAATTTCTCCATGATCACCTCAGAAATATACGTTGGAAATGGATGAGTCTTCTATTGACCTCATGTGAGTGATTTAACCATCGTCGTATACAATCGCTATATAATAAGATTTAGACTCTCTAGAGCAATGTGTTATAAATAATTGCTAGTCTTTCATTGTGGCTCTCACATTAATAATATAAACTTTGCTAAAAATAAGAAGGTGATCTTCCAAAAAATTGCAAAATAGTGTGGTTTTATTTGCAAATTTAAATAAATAAAAAAAAAATCACTATGGCATAATGCATCTACTACTGTATATTTGCATTATGAATTGTTATGTAAATAATAAATTATAGACACAGAGATACGATGTAAATTTGTGGCGTCGCTCTGATTTCAGGCATCAGCATGAGTCAAGAAAATACAATAATTTAAACAATGAATGGAAAGTCATCTGCGTATATAAATATACACATGCGAAAGATGAATTATTGTTCGATGATATTTTAAGCGCGTTCATAACAAAGGATTGGCCTATTTAACGTATATTAAATTTAACTTTCCCTTTGTAAACCGACTCAAAGTTATAGAAGTAATATCATAGTTAGCGCCCTCTATGTGAATAATGATATTATGTTTGCTATTAAATAAAAAATAATACAGAAATACCATTATTATTATAAAAATAGTACTATTATTATTATAATTAGGGCTTATTATTATTATCATTAAAGATTAGTATTAATAATATTGGCACACATCTAGATGTGTATAAGAGACAGGGGTGTGTGTGTGTGTGTGTATTATCGATGTTATTTCAATATAGATTGCCGTAGATTCTATTGTAAATTCTAATAGAACAAAACATATTCAGAATACACTACCTTTTCCAAATGACAGAAGACAAGTGATTAAAGTCAAATACTTCATGTTTTTGACAATTTAAAAGTTGGCAGGGAAGAAAATCAAGGAAAGCCAGGTTTTCCCAATATTCAGTTAACAACAAAACGGGTTAGCATCTGAAAAACAAAGAACAACACACTGTGACGGCCGTCTCATTCAATAGTTCTTGCAACGCTGTAATAAAGACGTATATGTAATATAAATCACACAAGGTGATATGCGTGATAATTTCAACTGTCTACTTTGTCACTATTACGGCAATATACGTTCCAACAAAATCTATCTATTAACATCATCTGATAGAAAGGCTTAGAAGCGACGTGAAGATTCGTACGAACGGACCACACTCAGATGAACTTAAAAAATGTAAATATATGACGTCACTACCACGACCTTTCTTTTAATGTGTATTAGCACAGACCCTATATACGAAGGTATTAGCTTATAAGTTAAACTGTAGCCCATTATTACATCACGGGTTGGTTAATAAAGGACGGAGAAAACAATAAAAATCAGTAAATAATTTCTGAAATTAAGAATAATAAAACTTATAAAAATGAAGACAATATTCATACGAGTTGAAAGGTAAATACATTTAGTCCTTTTTTTTTTTATAAGAACCAGTAAAACTTTGCCAGGCTCAGTGTTTTACACACTTTTCAAACATAGAAAATTATTACTTACAGCAGTATATTACTGTACTCTATTATAGAGGGTATTACATAGTCACAACCACTGCAAATAAGGTACAGGGAAGATTTGTTGGTTTTGTTTTTCTATTTATAAAAATTAAAACCGCATTTGACATTTTACCTCAGCCTCAATTTTTTCTTATTTTGCTCTTAATTTTTAAGCAATTTCAGCCTCAGTGTTCTTATAATATTAATGTAGGGTCTACCGTCACGTTTTCAGTTTATATATTTCTTTTAATTTAACGTGATATAAAATACAATGAAACAAACAGAAGGCGCAATGAGAATACGAAAATAAAAAATCACAGAGAGAAAAACACCAAATGAAACTGAATCACCTATCAAATGGCTCTACTTACACTGGAACCAGATTATAGTGAAACACAAGGAGGTTGAAACTAGTATAATAAAAACACTATATATTGTAATATATCATCTTTCAATATCGATGTGGGTTTAAAATGTTCCAGACAACTAGACTAGTAAACATCATTGTCGTTATCCCTATTATTGTCATTTTCACTATTATTGTCATTTTCATTATTATTATTATTATTATTACGATCTTCATTATCATCATCATCGTTATTATTATTATTATTACCGTCTTCATTGTCATTATTATTATTATTATTATTATTATTATTATTAGTATTATTATATTATTATCATCTTCATTATCATCATCATCATCATTATTATTACCTTTCTGCATTTAGTGAAACAATTATAGTGAATGAATATTTTATTTTTCATTATTAGTATCTTGGTTTTTCTATTTTTTTGAAATAAAAAATTCATTTGACACTTTACCTCATCAACAATTTGTTCTAATTTGTTTTTAATTTTTTGGAAATTTTAGCCTCAATGTACTTACAAAATGTGTTCATATAAAAAAATATATATAAAAAAAGAATGTTAAATTAGCTTACCGGTATAGTACAATGTCAATTGATTGAAAAGGATTTCGAGGTGAGTTCGAATCATACAAAATGTCAAGTATTTTTTTTAAAGACAAATGATTAAGCCTGACACTAAATGACATGAATAGTAGGCCTATCATGTCATTTATTGACACATGTAATTGGCCAAGTACTTGCTGTTGGGTAGAGGATGTTAAAAAAGTTGTTGACATTTCCAGTTTCATTATTCAAGATAATTATCACTAATTTGAAAATACAATCGTCAGGAAGTGAACGCTGAATTTCATATTAGTGGTTTTCAATAATGAATCCAATGCTGGTGCAATGGAACTTAATATCGTTATGTAGGGCCCCTAATGAGCAGCTCTTAAGAGTTACAAGAGTTACTTACACAACATATTGCAAGATAAAATAGATTATGGCTTCGTAAAAAGGTTGGTCTCAATCGATTAACATGCATGTCGCTTATTTCTGTACGTTGTATTCTATATAAATATCTTAATATATATATATATATATATTATATATATACACACATATATAGTATATATATAATAACATAATAAAATATAATTAGAAAGGAAATTCCTTTCAGGTTGGGAATTTAATATGTTGTTAACATGCATGTCGCTTATTTCTGTACGTTGTATTCTATATAAATATCTTTATATATATATATTATATATATACACATATATATAGTATATATATATATATAATAACATAATAAAATATAATTAGAAAGGAAATTCCTTTCAGGTTTGGAATTTAATATGTTGTTATGTAGTGATTGGCAAAAATATCGTTTTATGGATCTGTTTCTCCGTGTCAGTATTAAGATAGGCCTTTGTTCGAAGCTTGGTAATGCTGTTACAGTTACTTTAATTTTAAGTTATAAATATACATACCTATCACATTTTTTTCCGTCTAAAAATCAATACCGGTAGTGTTTATGTGCATCGTTTGAGTTCCCGAGGGTACCATCTTCTTGCGAGTCCCATAGAGTGGACATTAATAATGTTTTCTTTGTAACAATTCCTAGATATTTGTCAGTAACTTCAAATTGGAATACCGTATATTCCGAAATATGATCATCCCTGTGCTTCGTAAAAATCTGAGTCCCAGTTTTTCACAACGTTGTTTTTCTTTACAGAGATTTCGATAAAAAAAGATCTCATTTATGTTGTAACAAACACTATGCGTAATGCATGCTGGGTAAGATATAGATAAATTGCAATCATAAACTGATTCATAGTTTACAGGAAAACTGTCAACTTTTAGTCCTGAGCTCTAGGATACTACTTACAGGTTTTGAGATTTTACTTGAAGTATATCCAACATACTTTAGGTCTACATCTCGTTCACAACAATTTAAAACACAGGCCTAATAGGCCTAATGCACTTTGATCGTACTGGATCAAGATGGGGATCAAGACTGGTGTCAAAGTATCTTACGACAATCTCTATTATTATTCAAATATCGCACAAACCTGAGTATACTTAGCAGTGACAAAAACACTCTGCGTTCAATACATGATTATATTGACAACAACATGCCTTCCATTCACCTTTTGGGTAATTCTTTTAAGACATAGAGGCATAACTATTATTCAAACCAAGGCTATATATACGACTACTGCATAGTGCACGATCTGAACTAGAAACCAATTAGTCGGGAGCTCCACAAGGGTAGTGTTTGTCTAAAGTAAGTTTCAAACGTGCTACCGCTACGATCACGTGATTGAGTCGTCATCTATTGACAAAAATGTTGATAATGCTTAGTTCTAACTGATGAGGCTTAATTGTAATAATAATATTAAGAAATATAAATTAAAAGCAAATATTTTAAAGAGAAGGATTACTATAGGCGTGGCATTTTAGAATCATTTATCGAAATATAACTGAATGCAAAAAGAGTTAATTTGAGCTTGAACTGTTAAGAATACCGGTCAGTATGGATAATAATTTAGCCTATTTAAGGCATAATGATGAGCAATCGATAATATATTTATCAATTCTCGTCATCTAGGTAATCTTACTTTCATTCATCCATATGCTCGTACCGTTACATTACAAAATTCATCTATTCATTTATTTCATGTGTATATATCATCTCTTCCAAGTAAAATTAAAAACGATGCTGTCACTTTTTAAATAGGTTTTTAGTCATCAGATGTAGATATATTTTAACTTTTTGATATATGTTGTTTTATAAATTTTATTCGAATTTTTATTGTAAATTTGTTTTTTGGTGTTATGTTGGGACTTCTGGCTCACTCACAATTGCTTCTTTGGAAGTCTCATGACCTTTGCGTCAAAATAAATAAATGAAATGATGATAACAATAATAATAATAATAATATTAATAATAATAATAATAATATTAATGATGATGATGATAATGATAATAATAATGATGATGATAATAACAATAGTGATAATAATAATAATAATAATAGGCCTATTAAAATAATAATAATAATAAATTATTATCATTAAATGTGTATTATAGGTACAATGATCGATTTTCTCTCTCTTCTTGTGTGTTTGTTACGTGTAGGCCTAACAATACTTATAAACGACAATATTTTGAGACGAATAATGTAACTTTCAACACAGCGGCATGTTTGTCAGATAATCCAAGTGCCTTGCGTTATATCTATGCCATAAAATTCATTCATATGTTTTCGTTAAGATAGGATACATTATAACATACTTGAAATAGTTTATTTATATTAGTATACGGGTTCACTGAAGGTGCAACACTAAAATGTGGCTTATAAGCGAAGTTGTATATATAAAGATAACACCGGCCCTGCAGTTGTTATCAAGTCAATTTGTGGAAATTCTACTCAACCGAAGTCAGTCGCTGTAGTAGAATCAAATTCCAACAAGTAACGATTTTGTTGAAACGGCTATTATGATCATTTAAGTATATACATGAACGTCTGAAAATCTCAGGAATATTCAAAGCATTTTGAGCATCCAGACTTGACTTAAATTTTATCACTTACGAATTGTTGCCTTATCATAAATCACTACATTTACTGCGAGTTGGTCAGTAAAACAAAAAGGTTTTGCCGAACCAGCCTTAACTTAACATTCATACGTTATAAAACATAAGGAATGTTATAGCACAAGAAAAAAAGTCATATATAATTGAAAACAATAACAAACAAATATTTGTTTTACAGAATAATGAAGGTGACTATGATGATGATGAAGATGATAATGGTGATGAGGCAATTGATGATGACAATGATTTGTGATGGTTGTCGTGGTGGTGATGATGATGGGGAGGACAATGATAAAGATATAGTAACGTTTTAAAAAGACTGATTTTCTTTTTTGCAAATAACAATTAATATCGCATTGTTGGTATAATACATTAATATACAACTGGCAAGCTATTATTATGTTATTGTTTACTTGATAAAATTGTAACAGTTGAAAAATATAGACATTTTAAAGTATTTTTATTTTGTAACAGACCGTCATGATAAAAATCAAAGACAGAAAAACAAAATCTGATGATGCGTTTTATTGTAGGTTGTGCTCTTTAGTAATTATCAAGATTTCTATCACGATTGACATATATTACGCACGTTGTTACTAGGCTACAGTTCACATTACGTATAAAGACAAATCTGCTTAGATTGGTTGGAAACGCGAGACTAAAACTGATACTACTGTGTAGGTGATCTAAGGTAAAAAATCCCATATTAAAGGTGTGGAATTAAGGGAGATAAAGTATGGCATTTAATACCTTTATTATAAAAACAAAACAACTCACGAGTCTTAGACAAAAACAAACACTTCACAAAACATGAAAACACAGAAACGTAATAACAGTAGTAGGCCTATTATGCATATCCACTGAAACGAGAATGAGCGTAAACTGTTTTATATTTAGTTTATATCGATTCTTATCATTGTAATGTTTACAGGGGTTATTATGTTCCTTAGAGCAATATGTTACTCTTAAGATAGATCGATTATAATTTTTATATTGTTGTCTCAGCTAAAACCAAGAAACACTGAAGAACACAATTAGTGATATAGCTGGCGAACCATAAAAAGCAGTGTCACAGTGTGCGTACTGATTACCTCAAGGTATCGATCCTATCGACTTAAAAGTCTCCCTCTTATTAAAGACACATCCAAGTAAAGACCACCTTCAATTAAAGACCAGCTTTCTGCGGCACAAAATGAATCTTTTAATTGTCTAAAAATAATATTACTTGTTAAAACCCAAAGCCGCCAAATACCATGAAATCCCCGGTCCTAAAAATGGTCTTTAATTGTAGGGGAACCTGTACCTCACATTCTGTCATTATTTGAAACAATTTAAGTTGACATGATGAAATATTTTATTTAGAAATAACAAATAATTGTTATCGGTACCTATTTATGAAATTCAAAGCAGTTTTACGGTTTTCTCTTCTGTATGCATGTGCTTTTTTTTGTTTTTGTTTTTACTGCATGATTTTTAAAGGAAATAAATGATTATTAGGAGTTGAATTGAACGCCAAAGAAGTAGGCCCATATGAAGTTAATAAATAATGTATTGAGAAAAGAAAACGTAGTCCTCATTGTCTCAGTCAGGATTCGAACACTTCGTAATTATATTATACCAAATGAGTTATGCAAGCTATTATCACGCATATTCTTGGATTTCACTGATAATTAATCGTTTTACTTACATACTGTTAAAATGTTACACTTTATAGTACCTTTTCTTTACATGTTTCTATCTAAAGCGCCCACTATCAGAGGCGGGTTTTTTAGTGGAAGAGCAAGCCCTCTTAATTTCTAAAAAATAAAAAAAAATTGTAGAGAAAAAAATTGTATTCAAATTTAAGTTTGAAAATGCCGTTCTTCATTATTATTTATCTCATTTCAGATTAAGATTCATTTTTTTTCTAATATCTAAATATCAGTGAGCAAGCCTACATTTTAAAGTAATTAAAATTTTATAAATAAAAATATCAGTTCCATATATAGATAAAATATACATTAAAATGACTTGTTGTTGTCCATTATCATCATCTTCAGTCGAATTGATTTCTTCAGATGCTCAATAGCATTAATAGTATAATATTGTAATATGGATTAAGTATTTTCCATATTGTTATATCTTTATGTATATATATATATATATGTATATATATATGTATATATATATATGTATATGTATGTATATA